AACTGAAGCAAATCTTTTACACTATACTCCTTGGTTTCAGTAGTTTCTTGGTTTGGCCTGTTCCTTCCTGGACTACCTTCCTGGTAACCAGTGGTCATAGGAGTATTGCCTGTGGTTCTGACACAGTTTTCACTTTTCCAGGTATGCCGTGAGACTAGTGGTTGTAGCTCTAATCTGACCGGATCTGAGTTTGGTTCAGTGCTACAACCCTCCCCTACATTCTTTTTCCCTGCCATTGCAGCTATTACTTGTAACAGCAACCAAGCAACTGTAAGCCCTCTCCTTATCACTCTGTATTTCTATATGCATGCAAATAGCCAATTCCTCAGGAGTTAAATCCACCTCTCCTAAATCCCATGAATAGCTTTTGCCTTGGGTAACTGATCTCCACAAAATAGCTGCTTCAATCCTTGGGTGTTTTTTATCCCTCCAGAAACCAAAGCTTTCTTACTCTCTTGTTTATCTCCTTTTCCCCAAAACTACATATTCCAGTGAGTCTGGGCTATTGCAGCAAATTCCACATTTTAAAACTAACTGCTTGAATGATTTCTTTTAGAAGGATATGCACAAGACCAGTCCCTATGAGATGGAAGTTAAAGATGTCCCAGATGTCCAGCTTTTCCAAACTGCTGTGCAACTCCATCATCTCTGACATCAACTCCTCCTCTTCCCCTTAGTAATCTCCCTCCTGTTTTAGGGTTCTGTATTTTGCTATAACATCTCACAGAACACACAAACTCCTAAGAAAATGGCTCATGTGGTGGTGGAGGCTGGCAGACTGGCAAGTCCCAAGTCTGTGGGTAGATCTGGAGAATTCCCCTAACACGTCACATTGTTGCAGGGGTTGGTGAACCCAAATCGGCAGGCCAGATGACTGGCTGCTGTCTCAAGTCCAGGAGTGAGATGATGACAAACCAAACCAGAGCAAGAGAGAAAACTTACCCAGAACATTCACATATATACCCTCAAGGAAGGTAAGGGTGGTGACTTGAGTCACACCCTCCAGCAAGGCAGGACTCAAGATATATGCCACCTTAAACAGGCATAGAGACTAGCATTTACAGTACATCACAAAATGGAGGATAGCTACCAAGGGCCACATCAAGCAGTTCAATGCAGATTGCTACCTATGTGTTGTTGTTATGTTGTAGCAGTCAAGTGCCTTAGGCACTATGCTGCCAGAGCTCCAAGCTACCTATATATCCACTCATAAATTATTGTTATTACAGTTACTTGCAGGATTGTGTATGTAATAGTATTTACCATTGGTGTCTTTTACTCTTGTATACCTCCCAGTGTCTTCCTTTGCCTTAGTCATGTTTTGCTGACCTCCTCCTTTATTGTATATTGCCTTTTCCTTCATCCAAGTTAATAGTCTCTACTCTGGTAGCATAGTGCCTAAGGCATTTGACTGCTAACCAGAAGACTGGCGATTCAAACCCACCAGCCACTCCTCAGAAGGAAGATGGGGCAATCTACTTCCGTAGTGATACTGCCTCGGAAACCCAAGGAGGGGTCACTGTGAGTCGGGTCCGACTCGACAGCACATAACAACAACTCTCTAGTTAGTGATTTTTCCCTCTCTCCTCCTCCTATCCATAGTAAACATCAAAGAATGTTTCTTTCTGTGTGTAAACCTTTTCTTGACTTTTTATAGTAGCGGTCTCATACAATATTTGTCCTTTTGTGATTAATTTGTTTCACTTAGCATCTAATACTTCAGGTTCATCCACTCCAGATTCATCATTATTCTATAATGTTGCATAGTATTCCATTGTGTGTATGTTCCATAGTTTATTTATCCATTCATCCATTGTTGGGCCCTTAGGGTCTTTCCTTCTTTTTTCTATTGTGACTAGTACTGCATTGAACTTGGCTGTGCATATATTTATCCATGTCACAGCTCTTAGTTCTCTAGGATATACACCTAGTAGTGGGATTGCTGGATCGTATAGTGTTGCTGACATTTTAAGGAAGCACTGTCCCATTTCCGCAGTGGTTGTACCATTTTACAGTCCTACCAGCAATGTATGAGAGTTTCACTCTCTTCACACCCTCACCAGCATTTGTTGCTTTCCTTTTTTTTTTTTTGATCACTGCTATTATTGCCTGGGCGAGATGCAATCTCATTGTTTTGATTTGCATTTCTTGTAGTGCCTAAGGCATTTGACTGCTAACCAGAAGGCTGGTGTTTCAAACCTAGTAGCCACTCCTTGGAAAGAAGACTGGGCAATCTACTTCCGTAGAGATACTGCCTCAGAAATCTGGAGGGGTCACTATGAGTTGGGACCAACTCAACAGTAGTGAGTTGGTTTTTTTTTTTTTTTTAATGATGAACAATCTCAAGCATTTTTTCTTGTATTTGTTGACTTCGTGAATGTCATCTTTGGTGAAATATCCATTCATATCCTTGAAGTTTTCTATAAATTTCAGCGATTAGTCCATTGTTGGATATGTTGTTGCCAAAAACTTTTTCCCAGTTTTTAGGTTCTCTTTTTGATGAGCGTAAGTGTTTACTTTTTAGGAAGTCTTATTTATCTAGTTCATCTGCTGCTGTTTGTGCATTTTTAGTTATGTTTTGTATTTATGCCATCTGTTAGGCCCCTAGCATTGTCTCTGTTTTTTTCTTCCAGGATCTTTATAGTCATAGGTTTTATATTTAGGTCTTTGATCCATTTTGAGTTAGTTTTTATGTATGGTGTGAGGTATGGATCCTATTTCGTTTTCTGCAGATAGACATTTAGTTTTATCAGCAGCATTTGGTAAAGAGGCTGTCTTTTCCCCATCTAATGGATTTTGGCCCTTTGTCAAAGATCAGCTGACCATAGGTGGATATATTTAATTTTTAGTTCTCAGTTCATTCTTTTGGTCTATGTGTCTGTTGTAGCAGTACCAGGCTCTTTTGACTACCACAGCTGTGTAGTAGGTTCTGAGATTCAGTAGCGTGAGTCCCCCTACTTTGTTCTTGATCTTCAGTAATGCTTTATTTATCTGGATCCTCTTTCCATATAAAGTTGATGATGTTCTATCTCATAAAAGAATGCTGTTGGAATTTGGATTGGGATTGCATTATATCTGTAGATCATTTTGGATATTGACATTTTTACAGTGTTAATTCTTCCTGTCCATGAACATGGTATGTTTTTACATTTATGTAGGTCTATTTTGGTTTCTTAGAGTAATGTTTCACAGTTTTCTTTGTATAGTCTTTTACATCCCTAGTTAGATTTATTTCTGTAAGTAAATCTGGTTAGTATTTTATCTTTCGGGGGATTATTGTAATTAATATTGTTTTCCTGGTTTCCTTTTCTAAGTTGTCTTTGTTGATGTAGAGGAATCTCACTGGTTTTTGTACATTGATTTTGTGTCCTGCTACTTTGCTGAATCCTTCTATTAGTTTCAGTAGCTTTCTTATAGAATCTTTGGGATTTTCTATGTGTAGTATCATATCATCTGTGAATAGAACTTCCTTACTATTCTGAATACCCTTTATTTCCCTTTCTTGCCTTTTTGCTCTAGCTAGGACCTCCAAAATATAACCCAAATCAAATTCACTGCTGTCAAGTCGGTCCCAACTCATAGCGACTCCTCCTTGGGTTTCTGAGGCAGTATTTCTATGGAAGTAGATTACCCAGTCTTCCTTCTGAGGAGTGGCTGGTGGGTTTGAACCACCAGGCTTCTGTTATCAGTCAAATGCCTTAGGTACTGTGCCACCAGAACTCCCATACAATGTTAAATAAGAGTAGTAATAAAGAGTATCCTTTTCTGGTTCCCATTCTTAAGGGAATGCTTTCACCCTCCTCAGTCCTTTCAGTCTGTCTCCATTTAGCATAATGTTGGCTTTGGGTTTGTATGAATGGTCGTTTTTATGATGAGGAATTTCCCTTCTCCCGTTTTGCTGAGTTCTTATTAGGAATCGGTGTTGGATTTTATCAAATGAGTTTTTTGCATCAATTGAGATTTCTTTTGCTTTATTGATGTGGTGGATTATATTGAAACAAGGTGGACTCTTAAGAAGGTTAATTGAATGAATCTACTTGAGGAGAAAACTGGAGAAGTAGAGAATAGCAGTACCAGGCCAGATGGGATTGTGTGTACAATTACTGTCTTGATACGAAGTGGTAAGCTTGTGAGAGTGAGTGACTGTAAGCAGGCATGTGGCAGAAGCAGGGTGTTGGGAGATGCTCAGGAGCTGGGGATATGGCATAAGGGTAAGAGCTGAAAGGCTCAGGAAGAAAAGATGGGATGGGCTCAGGCAAGGGAGCCTAAAAGAGTTGGGAGGGGCATGAAAACTAGTCTCTGTCAAAATATGGAGATGCATTACTTGTGATCAGCATGCAGTATGACCTGCAAGATAGAGTAGTCAGGCTTAACTATGAAAATGAATTTATTGATTCACATAAGTGAAAAGTCCAGACGTTCGGCTGATCTCATGCACAGCTAGATCTAGGACTCAGATAATGTCCTCAAAATGTATGTGTATCCTTTGGTTCTTTTTCTTTCTTCATTGACTCCATTGTTGGGCAGTTCCCTCAGGCAAGATATCTACCAGGTAGCCACAGGGTAATGTCCTGCAAAGGGAGAATGCCTCCTTTCTGGGGCATATCAAAGTTCAAGCACTGATTCACTAGTTTGAATGGGATTACCTTCCCGTTGCTGAGCTAAATAAACATCCTGACTGTGACTGGCCACCTGATACAGAAGGGGTAGAGGAGGCCATAGGAACTTGAGTAAGGGAGTGGTAAAGCTGCAAGGGAAAATGGAAGTGTACTCAGGACTAAGGGATGAAAACAGGCAAGGACTCCAAAGATACAGACTCCTGATTTAAGGTAATGTTGTTAGCAGAGGGGACTTGATACATGATGTTGCATGCATAAATCACTTTTTTTTTTTTTTCCAATTGTGATTTGGGTGAAAATTTACAGAGCAAATTCACTTTCCATACAGCAGTTCACATATACATTGTCTCATGGTTAGTCACTCTTTTTAATGTTTTTCAGCATCTACATGATACGGTGAAGAGGAATCTTGATAGTGCTACCTCCCCTCAGAATGGTGATCAGCAGAATGGCTATGGAGACCTCTTTACTGGGCATAAGAAGACACGCAGAGAAGGCCCTCTGGTAGTGGCTGTCTCTGCCAATGGCCTGCCTCCAACCTCTCCCCGGGGGCAGCATGACAAGCCTCCTGGTGGAGATGCCCTCCAGCCCAGTGGAAAGCACTCCCTGGCCCTTGACTCTGTCAACAAAAAGTGTCTGGCTGACTCGAGCCTTCACTTGAACGGAGGCAGTAATGCCACTGAGTCCTTCCCTATGAGCTTGAACAAAGAGCTAAAGCAGGAGCCTGTTGATGACCTTCCCTGCATGATTGCTGGGGCTGGGGGCTCCATATCACAAAGCAACCTCATGCCTGACCTGAATCTGAATGAACAGGAGTGGAAGGAGCTCATTGAGGAGCTGAACCGGTCAGTGCCTGATGAAGACATGAAGGATCTCTTCAATGAGGACTTTGAAGAGAAGAAGGACCCCGAGTCTTTGAGTTCTAACACACAGACCCCCTTGGCACAGGACATTAATATTAAGACAGAATTCTCCCCAGCAGCCTTTGAGCAAGAACAGTTAGGCTCTCCACAAGTGAGAGCTGGGTCTGCAGGACAGACCTTCATGGGGCCTTCATCTGCCCCTGTGAGCACAGCTTCCCCCAGCCTTGGGTCTTCTCAGACCATGTTCCACACTTCTGGTCAGCCTGGGGTGGAAAATCCCAGTGCAAATCTGATGCCGGCATCATCCCAGACCCAGAATGCACAGAGAGCCCTCTCCAGTGTGGTACTTCCCAGCCAGGGTACGGGAGGGGGTGCAGAGCTATCGTCTGCCCACCAGCTCCAACAGATTGCTGCCAAGCAGAAGCGTGAGCAGATGCTTCAGAACCCACAGCAGGTTGCCCCGGCCCCAACCCCAGGCCAGATATCCACGTGGCAGCAGACAGGGCCCTCACACAGTCCCTTAGATGTTCCTTATCCCATGGAGAAGTCTGCCAGCCCTCCCAGCTACCAGCAAGATTTCAGTAACTCCAAACTGCTTATGATGCCCAGTGTGAACAAGAGCTCCCCTCGCCCTGGAGGCCCCTACCTCCAGCCCAGCCACGTGAACCTGCTGAATCACCAACCACCAAGTAACTTAAGTCAGAACTCCGTGAATAGCCAAGGCCCTGTGCTGGACTATGGGAATACAAAACCCCTTTCCCATTACAAAGTGGACTGTGGGCAAGGAAGCCCTGGTCCTGGCCAGAGCAAGGCAGCTATGCTGGCTTATCTGCCCCAGCAGCTGTCTCACCTGAACAGCGAGCAGAATCCCTTGTTTCTTATGAAACCAAAGCCAGGAAACATGCCCTTCAGGTCCCTGGTTCCACCTACCCAGGTAAATAGGTAGCTTCTAAATAGGTAGCTTCACTTTCTGTTACACACAGCAAATATATAAATGAGGCTAAGAGCTAAAGTGGAAGGGTCTCAGGTAGTTGTGGAAGAAGAGGGAGAGAGTGAGCGGTTGCTGTTGGCCTTTAGCCCGAGAGTGAAAATTTAATTTATAAAACAAACCAGGGTTGATTCTTAATGAACAAAAATATGGTAAAAGTCCCTAGTTTAACTTGAGTTTAACTATAGGAATATATTGTCTGGCATCTCTTTGATGTCATAGTTTGAATGGAGTTATCTGTTCTTTACAGATAGAGGCCACGTTTAATGTGCTTCTTAGAGGTTTTACTCTTTTACCTCTTTTTTGTGTATCTGTGTTAAAAATCCCTTAGTGTTTAGCAAGCTGATAACATTTCAGGCATGTGCTGCTTCTAAGCTACACATCTCAGCTTTCTAGTTATTTAGGAGTGTCACACAAGCTGGCAGAGTTATTTGGCTCCATATGGTAGAAAATGGCCAAACTAGTTACTAATTATCATGATCATTATTTGCATTTCTGCTCATGTTCAAATATTTTTAAATAGTCCCTTTCCTGGGCTAGGACTTACAGTGTAAACAACCATGGAGTGTTTTCCCCTGACTTCCTCGGGAGATGGAATGGAGTACAACTTGGTCTTTCATAGGAGCTCTGGTAGCGTAGTGCCTAAGGCATTTGACTGCTGACCAGAAGGCTGGTGGTTCAAACCCACCAGCCACTCCTCGGAAGGAAGATTGGGCAATCTACTTACGTAGTGATACCGCCTTGGCAACCCAAGGAGCGGTCGCTAAGAGTCAGATCTGACTCAACAGCAATGAGTTTGGTTTTCTGGTTTTTGGTCTTTCTCACTCCCGAGTGTACCATGGGCTATATTCCACATCTTCAGGCAAAGACCCTTCAATTCTTTTTAACAGTTATGGAGTATTCAGTTGTAAGTGTACCATAGCCACACATTGATGGCAGTTTAGGTTTGTCTTCTGTTTTTCACTTCTGTAAATAAGCCTGCAGATGTATTGTGTATATGTTTGTATACTTGTGGTACAAGCTACAATTTTAAAAATTTAAAAAAAAAAAAAAAAAACGCTATAAATACCATGAGGAAATGGACACATTCATATACTGGTTGACGATGTGTACTTGAGTATAGATAGTGTTTTGGGGAAGTAATTTGGCATTATGTATTTTGAAAATGTTCACAAGCACTGACGCATTCTCCCCCTGCAAATGCAGCTAAAGAAATAATCCAACATAAACAGAAAGTTACATATAAGATTTTATTGCATGATTATTTTTAATGGCCAAGAAGTGGGATCAGTTTAGCAACTCCTGTTGGGAGGCATGTATAAATGTTGATGCTTCCATTTATTTTAGCCATCAAAATGTTACCCAGTCATTAAAAATGGCCTTAACAAAGACAGGAACACAGTGGTGTAACTACTGTCATTTGAGTAGCACTCCACAACTTTCAAAGCACTTTTTAATCCCTTAAGCTCCTAATGATTGGGATAAAGAAATTAATGTCAGAATCTGTCTGTAGTAATTAGATTAGAATCTTGTAAAGATTTAAAAATATGAGTGAATAAGAACTGGAAAGGGGTTCAAAAATTTGAGCATATTTAAATAAAAATTACTTTTTTAATTTCCCCTTTTAAATGTAAGTAATGGTGCTAGAATAATATTGTGGTGGCCTTTGCTAGGAATCTCACTTTTGGTCCATGTATTAATATGTAATATCCATTAAAGGTTGCATTGATATTCAGTACTTTATGAGCAGGAGTATCTGGCAGAAACTAAGTAGGCTCTTTCCAGACAAATGCTTGTACACAGATGGACAAATGACACAGTTTCAGGGATTACCCTGAAGCCAGGGCCCCAAAGTTCACACTTACCAACAGAATATCTCAGTCAAATAGAGCCCTTCTTCAGAGTGTTCTTCCCCTGTGGGTCCATCTGCCTGCAGACAAGCTAAATCCATATTTACAGGCAGTAAATCATGTGCAAATGTAGGAACTTAAATCTGCCTAATGTAAAAGCATACCTCTTCCACTGGTGACTCAAAGGAAGCAAATCCTGTATATGTGATTGTTCATTGATAGGTGCCTGCCTATTCTGGTGTTAGCTTTCAGTCTCCTCCTGGGCCCTCAGTAGTATAGTTGAGGCTGAGGGAGCCATGAATGGGACACTTGCTGGGTGGAGCTTGACGGGTTTGGTCAGAGTTTATATGCTTCACCATGTCCCACTTGATACAAGAATGCTGTTATCTGTGTTGACAGGAGCAGAATCCTGCTAATGTTCCTCACACATCCACATCCGTGCCAACTCAGGCCACTAGTGTGGGGACCCAGCCACCTGCTGTGTCTGTGAGCAGCACTCACAACAGCGCTCCCTATCTCAGTAGCCAGCAGCAGGCAGCAGTAATGAAGCAGCATCAGTTGATTTTGGACCAACAGAAACAGAGGGAGCAGCAGCAAAAGCACTTGCAACAGCAGCAGTTCTTACAAAGGCAACACCACCTTCTAGCAGAACAGGTAAGAAGAAAAGGGGAAGAGCCCCTGCCACCTTGGCCTGCATCCTAAGTCATGGCAGTGCCTGCAAGCCTGCCTACTGGTCCTGTGCATTTGCCCTGATCTGCATGCATTATAAATCCTGTTCCAGGAGCATGGTTTTTCTCATATATCAGAGGTCTATGTCAAGAGCTGCTTTGTATCACTTAGTGGGGATTAATGATGGCAGAATGTGTAGCTAAAATTGTACTTAGGAATGTTTCCATGTCCCTTGGGCAGTTTTCAAACAACTGAGGTCACTTACTTGTTTTGCTGTGGAATCCAGCTTTGTTGTACATGTGGAGAGTTTATTATAAGCAAGAAAGTGAAATAGAGTTAAAAAGTTCTACATTTCTACAATCTGGACAGATAAGCTTCTCCCAGTCTTACAGTTTACCTGTAGACACTAAAGGTTAAAGATAAAATTCTCAGGACTTCAAATTACATTAAGAGATAAGAACTAGTTACCCAGAGTGTAGAGATGATTGAGGATGACTTTAAAGCCTACATCACTGCCTCAGTCCTGCCATTCTTTGTTTTTGTGGGTGGATTTTTTTTTTTTTTTTTAAATAGCGTCATTGGGATATAATTCACATGACATAGAGTTTACCCATTTAAAGTGTACAGTTCCTTGATTTTTAGTATATTCACAGATAAGTGCAGTTATCATCACAGTAAATTTTAGAGTATTTTCATCACTCCAAAATGAAGTTTTATACCTATTAGCTGTCATTGCATTCCCTCCAACCTCCTAGCCCCTAGCAACTACTTATCTACTCTTCTGTAGATTGGCTTATTCTAGACATTCTATACAAATACTTTCAAGGTTCATCTGTCTTGTGTCTGGACTTCATTTCTTTTTCTTGGTGAACCCTTTATCATGTGGATATACTACATTTTATTTATCCATTCATCAGTTAATGGACATTTGAGTGGTTTCTGCTTTTTGGCTGTTATATGAATGTGCTGCTATGAATATTCGTGTACAAGGTTTTGTCATATGGGACTCTTAAACTTGTTTTAAAATTTGTGTGTGTGTGTGTGTGTGTGTATAATATTTACATATTTATATTTGTTGGGTGCCATCAAATGAATCAGGTTCAACTCATAGTGACCACATGTGACAGAGCAGAACTGCTCCATTGGGTTTTCTAGGCTGAGATCTTTATTTACCTATTTCTCTCTCTTCTTTTCTGTTGCCTTCCCTTTCACCCAAGTTATATGTGTCTGCCTTCTAGTTAATGGTTTGCCCTCCCTTCCTCTGTCACCCCTGGTAACTATCAAAGAACATTTCTTTTTCTACGAAACCCTTTTCTTGACTTTTTATAGTAGTAGTCTCCAATATTTGTCCTTTTGTGATTTACTAATTTCACTCAGCATAATGTCCTCTGGGTTCATCCATGTTTATGAGATATTTTGCAGATTCATCATTGTTCTTTAACATTGCATAGTATTCCTTTATGTGTGTACCATAGTTTGTTTATCCTTTTATCCATTGATGGACGCTCAGGTTATTTCCATCTTTTCGGTATTGTGGATAATGGTGCAATGAACATGGGTGTGCTATCTCTTTGAGTCATGGCTTCTATTTCTCTAGGATAGATACCTTGTAGGGGGATTGCTGGATCATATGGTATTTCTGTTTTCACCTTTTTAAGGAAGTGCCATACCGTTTTCCACAGTGGTTGCTCCATTGTAGTCTCACCATCAGTTTATGAGGCTTCCAATCTTTCCACAACCTCCTCAGTATTTGCTGTTTTCTGTTTTGAACTTTGCTATTAGTGCTGGCATAAGATGATAACTTATTGTTTTGGTTTGCATCTCTCTAATGGCTAATGAGGTGCTCTAGTGGCATAATGGTTACAGCATTCAGCTGCTGACCAGAAGGTAGGCAGTTTGAACCAACCAGCTTCTCCGCAGAAGAAAGATGGGGCAACCTGCTTCTGTAAAGATTTACAGCCTTGGAAACCCAATGGGGGCAATTCTATGCTGCCCTATAGAGTCCTTGTGAATTGGAATTGACTTGATGACAGTGGAATGGCTAGTGATCACAAGCATTTCTTTATGTACTCGTTAGCTACGTGAATGTCTTCAGTGATGAAGAATATGTTCATGTCCTCTGCCCATTTTTCAATTGACTTATCTTTTTGTTAAGGTGTTGTAGTTTTCTGTAAATTGTCAAGAGTAGCTCTTTGTCTGATATGTTGTTGCCAAAAAGTTTTTCCCAGTCTGGATTTTCTTTTTATTATTTTGGTGAAACTTTTGATAGACTTAAGTGTCTAATTTCTAGGAAGTCCCAGTCATCTGTTTTGTCTTCTAATGTTGGTGTGTTTTTAGTTATGTTCAATAGTGTGATTATGCCATGTATTAGAGTCCCTAAATTCATCCCCATTTTTTCTTTGATGGTCTTTATATATAGGTGTTTGATCCATTTTGAGTTCGTTTTTTTATATGGTGAGAGATATGATTCCGGTTTCTGCATAGATACCAAGTTTTGCCAGCATTCTTATGTTTAACCGTTGAAGAACTGCCACAAAGTTCTTTTAAGGAACTTCACAGTGAATGTACCCTTTTATATTCTCAAAAGCAAAGAGTATGAAGTTCCAATTTCTTCACATCCTCCCCAATGCTTGTTATTTTCTGTCTTTTTTATTCTAGCAGGTATGAAATGGTATGTTGTTATGGCTTTTATTTGCATTTCCTGATCTGCCCTCTATTTTTTAATTAATTGCTCCTTAAATCTGCCCCATTCTTCTGTGTCATACTATTAATTAAGAATCCCCAAAGTGAGTTCACTGGAGCACTTTTCACAGTAGCAAAAAGGTGGAAACAACTGCAGTGTTCATCAGCAGATTAATGGATAAATAAGATAAACGCACAGTGGAATATTACTCAGCCATAAAGAGGAATGAAGTCCTGATGTATGCCACAATATGCATGCCATATTGTGGCTTGGCTGAACCTTGGAAGCATCATGCTGAGTGAAATAAGTCAGTTGCAAAAGGACAAATACTGTATGATCTCACATGAAATAAGCAAATACATAGAAACCAAAGAGCTAGAGGGAGGAGGGGGAAAGCAAGAGTTTTGTGTAGGGGTCATTGAGTTCATGTTACTGGTGGTAGAATGATTTGGAAAAAGAGTGAGAATGGTTACACAACTTGAAGAATATAGTTAGGTCACTGAATTGTACATGCAGAAATTCTTGCAGTGGGTTACGTTTTGTTACGTGTATTTTCACCACAATTAAAAAAAATAAAACTCTAAATTTGGTTATTAGCATTATTGCCACAGAAGCCTTTGTGTGAGGAACAAACTTGGACAATTTACTTTTCCCTGACTTAACTCTGTTTTCTTTGTTTTATGTGGTTTTTGTTGTTTTTGGCTTTTCCTAGGAGAAGCAGCAATTTCAGCGCCATCTGACTCGCCCACCACCTCAGTACCAAGATCCTACACAAAACACCTACTCACAACAGGTCGGACAGTTCACAGGTAAAGAAGTGTGGGGAAAATGGAGTGGGGAAGGGGGTACAGGTACTGGATCTGCCAGTCATCCTTTTCAGCTTGCTGTCAGTCGTTCATTGCTAACTGAACTCCTATTCTCTCTAAATTCATGCTAGGTGCCACACGGGTCTAATTGTGCATGTGAACTTGAGTCTGTTTACCAGTCTGGCTTTCTGTTTACCCTGCAGCAAGCACTCAGAGCAGAGAGTCGAAGAGGCTTACCAGGAGAAATCCTTGTGCTGGGTCCCTGGCTATGTAGTCTTTTGAAGCAGAATCATTTGTAGTCAAAAAACATCTTATCAGCAGGAAATGGCTTCTGTAATTCTTTAAAAAGTTCTTTGCTTCTTCCGTTATATGTCTTCAAAAAACAATCCTCTCTTGTTTTCCAGATAACGAGAGACAATGCACTTGCCTGCCTTTTGCAGCTTTTCTTTCTTCCTGTCTGCTCACTGTGGTGTCACAGACGGCAGCATCAGCCATGGGTGGTTGGCCAGAAAAGGCAGGAAGTATGTTGTGGTCTCAGGTGTTCCAAGGGAACTAGACTGCCCTTGCTGGGGCTGTTGCTGTAGAAATGAATAGAGATCTAAGTTGTTATGTACAGTAAACCTGGTCTTTACTTGCCCTCCTAGCTTATCTTGGAAGAGCTTAGAAACTTCTCTTTCTTTAGGGGATAACCCTTACTATCAAGTGTCCCATAGAGACTGACCCTCAGCTGTGTGTCCTTGAGGAGACTGGGTGGAGGTTTATATGTACACTAATTGGGAACATGTGGGCATTGAAGTCTGTAGGCAGCTCAAAAGCCTCAGCCTGGGCCCTGATTCCTACTTTAGTCTCATCAAACATTGTTGTGTGGTGTTAATGAGAATGAAATAGGTTGCTTTAGCTCTCTTCTCTTCTTCCACCCAAGTTTTATTTTAGGGGCTAGTGGAGAAAGGGAGGGAGGATGAGAAACAAAGTACTCAGTTATGGCCAATGCCAGAACAATTACTCTCCTGCCCACAAAACCTGATCTCAGTTAATGGTGTCATCATTCATCCACTGCTAAACCCGGAAGCCCTAGACAGCAAGTTCCCTGGGGACAAGGCCCCTCTCTGTCTCATTCCACACTGTCTTCCAGCAACACCTGCCACAGAGTAGGTTCTCAGTAAATATCTGGTGAATTCATCCTTTCATTCTCACGTATAAACTGTAGGATCTAGGGAAGTGTCTTCACATTTTCCCTCTTCTTTCATGCCCTGCTACCACATTTTATATGCCCCCTCATCTGTGTGTGACTCTGATAGCCTCCTCTGAGTAGAATCTGAGCCACAGTCCCTGTGCAGTTACTGTGGCTTAACTGCCTTGTTCTTGAGCACAGCATCCAAAGCTTTTCCAAATCCGGCCTCAAGTCTCCCTCTGGCTTTATGTCTAACCAACTGGACTCTATCCCCACACTCTAGCCAGCCTCTTCAGGTTCCCCACACAGATGGCCTATCCATATCTCTCTGCCTTTGATACACTCTTTTCTCTGCTAACAATGCTCTTTTTCTCCAAAATGCTTAATTGCTAAACTTACACTCTTTTAAAACCCATTGTATTTGTCACCATTACTATGACGCCTTCTCCAGATCTTCCAGGGCATTCATCCTCTGGTCCTTGCTGTTCCCATAGCTGCTGTGAAGCCTTTTATGACCTTCATTGCACCATATAGAAACTTCTACATCCCAATTGTAGATCCCCAGTGCCAAGCATAGGGCCCACCATGGAACAAAGATTTGCTGGGTGTTTGAAAAGTGAATGAATGGATCCACTGGCTTTCCCTCCTAGAGGGTTCACCCTCCTTTGTTGTCTAAGCCCTGTCATAGTTCTAGGCCTTACTTCATTCCATTCCCGGCTCTTTTTTCCGTGTGTGCCACTGACTATGAGACAAAGCTTTGTGGGCATCACCACCGGCATGGTCAAGAAATGCCAGATTGGTTGACAGAATTTTCTCTTGCTTCTAGGGTCCTCTGCTGTTGTGCCTGGCATGAATAACTTGGGTCCACCCAACCCCAGCTGTCCTCGAGCATTCCCTCCAACTGGGAATCTCATGCCAATGGGCCCTGGTCACAGTGCGGTTTCTTCTCTGCCCTCCAGCTCAGGCCAGCAAGATCGGGGTATGACTCAGTTTGCTGGCTCTCAGAGCAGTATCTATGGCATGACCTCGAGCATAACACAAATGGTTGCCCAGCCCCCCACCCAGGCCACCAATGGACACACCCACATTCCACGGCAGGCCAATGTGAGCCAGAACACCTCAGTCTCGGCTGCCTATGGGCAGAACTCTCTGGGGAGCTCTGGCCTCTCTCAGCAGCATGGTAAGGGTACCCTGAACTCTACTCTAACTAAGGCACAGGTCCCAAGAGTTTCAGCAGCCATGGGAAGCCAGAATCCCTCGTGGCAACATCAGGGAATGCCAAACTTGAGTGGTCAGCCCCAAGGGAGCCCCAGCGTAAGCCCCTTCACTGCAGCCTCCAATTTCCACATGCAGCAGGCCCACCTGAAAATGTCCAGCCCACAGTTCACCCAGGCTATGCCCAGCAGACCTATGGCCCCTATGAGCTCAGCAGCTGCAGCAGGCTCCATGCTGCCCTCCGTGAACACACAGCAGAGGACCAGTGCACCTGCGCCACCACCTCCACAGGGACCCCCACAGCAGGTCCTACCAGGACTGAGTCCGGCTGTGCCTGAGCTGGGGGCCTTCAACCAGAGCCCAGCCCCACAGATGGGGGGCAGGGCGGGGCTGCACTGTGCCCAGGGCTACCCAGTGCGGACTGCGGGCCCGGAGCTGCCCTTTGCCTACAGCGGGCAGCCAGGCAACAGTGGGCTGTCCAGCATGGCTGGGGATACTGACCTGATTGACTCCCTGCTGAAAAACAGGACTTCAGAAGAATGGATTAATGATTTGGATGACCTTCTAGGGTCACAGTAATGGGGAAATATAAGGTGTTCTTGGTATTCATAACCTGTATTTCCTTCCTCAGATTCAAGAAAGAGCAACTACTTTGGACCAAAAGCTCATGGCACAGGGAGCCGGGTGGCGGGTGGAAACCAGAGCCCAGTCTGAGGCCCTGCCCCAGGGCAGGCTCTATGGGCACATGGCTCCCAGGCTAGCAGTTGTGGTATGTCGGGCTGGCCCCAGCCCATCTGCTGGTTTCATTACCTGGTGTTGGGACAGCAAGAGAGTGTTCTAAAGGTGATTTTCTGTCCAGATGACCAAAAATCCAACAGAAACAACAGTGAAACCCCACAATGTCAGGTGTACAAAAAAATCTGTGCCATCATGTTGACTTAATCCAAAGTTTGTCCACTTGCCCAGTTTTGGGGGCAAGTTTTTGTTGAAACTTGTTACATAGTGGAATTATATGCAATTTATAGTGTGGAAAAGGTTAAAAAATGTTTTTAAAAGGGTTTTTTAAACAGATAGGTGGTGGTTTAAATTGATTAAGGACATTGTGAACCTTGGGTATTCTTCCTCTCGTCAACTTTCAGGAGAGGGGGTAGCTGGAAAATCAATCTGTAAGTACAGGCTGCCCTGTAGAGGAACAGGGTGCTGTGAGATTACAGACCTTTTGACACAGAGGTGGTCTCTCCAGCTTCTTCTCCTGCTTACAGTACATTGTTCTTCCTGTTGACATTTAGGAGGCCCAAACCCTAGAGAAGTCCCTTCTTTGCCCTGCCCTTGGTAGCAGAGCCCCAGGAAACCCCCTCTAGTGAAGGAGCACCTGCTTCCAGGGTCAGTGGTGAAACTGAATATGTGGGATTCCTGTGTCCGTTATGTGTTCTGACCTCCAACCTTCTTGAGTTTCTCAGAAAACTTGTATTTAACATGGTAGGAACGTGGTCGTTTCATGATGCACAGATGTTTTTCCTTTACTCTGTCTTCATTTCCCATGACCTTCTGTCTCCCCTTCTTCCTCTCTCCAGGCAACATGGAAAACTTCTTTAGAACAGTGATTTACTAGATTGGAGAGAGAGAAAAGAGTTCAAATTCCTTAGGGAACTGAAGCATTAGGTGGGATCACTCCTCCCCAGAAAGTAAAAGCTTTTGGGAACTCAGAACCTTAGGAGCATTCTGTTTGGTAGGGAGGCTTGTGTGACAGGCCCAGAGAAGGAATTCCACTGCTTTACGACTCTTTTCTGCCTCTTCCCACATCAGATGACTTGCACTTTTTAAGAGAGAATTGCTTTATAACACTAATGTATCCTTTCTAAAGATTCAATCTTTTAGGGTCTATGAATGAATAGACCTTGACTAAGCTAAGAATTTGCAAAATAGAGTATTACACGATGGGCTGTTTGTGAGGAAAACAAAGATGGAGTGAGCACTTCCGTGTAATTAAAGCAAAACAGGAAGCACAGAGTGAGGCCCTTTTAAACACAACATTGGAGAGAAAGTAATACACTGAAAAGAGTGGTTTATTTGCAGAGTGGTCTGCGGAGAGACCTCAACCTCAGTTTTATTTCCCTGAATCAGCAGATCAGTTGAGTATCATGTGTGGAAATGGAGCTGAGGAAAATATTCACATAAACAGCCTGAGTTGCTTTGAGGGGATAGAGGGTTGTACCCACATTTGTAATTATTTTGCACCAGCAGTGCCTTTTTCATTGGGGGTACTTGGACCCTCAGATCCTCTTCTTTAATAGCCATTTCCACCATGGATGGTGTTTGGGCTTTTTCCCCTGTAAACACCCTCCAAGCCTTCCCCCAGATGCTGAATTTAGCTCTCTAAGAAGGGAATGAGTCATAAAGCCAGTGTAGACTCCAACCTCAGATTGAGTTCCCCAATCTGAGGAGAAAAGGGTGACTTCAGCGTGTTTTCTACCAAAAATAGCAGGCAGGGCCTGAGGCTGCTTCTGGATCCTTTTCCTTTCCTGGTCTCCCTGTGGCTGCTGCCCACCTCTGCCCCTGGGGCATTCTGGGGAGGGCAGGACCCCAAGCTCTCTGCCTGGGGTGAGGGGGGTTGGGAAGATAGGCAGTTGGGCTTCTCACTTGCTGCAGCGTCATAGCAATAAAATGTGATTCTTGGGGTTCCCCCAGGGAGCTGCCCGTGGCTTTATTTATGAGTATGGTTTCTGGGCAGTTGGGAGGAGCAACTGCTTCAGTGCAGATCCTCATCTTCCCAGGACCAGGACTCAAAAAGGGTGCTCAGACTTTTGTTATACACATTTGCTTTGTGTAAATAAATGTTTACAATTTTATATTAAAGATGGAATAAGAGTTAGATCTGACTGTATATTTTTTACTTTTATAGATTTTAAAACTATGATCCTTTATTATATGTGTTTTTGGGAAGCTACAATAAGTTTTATGGCAACAGTTGGTATTGTTAACTTTTTATTGTCATCAGAGTACATAAAAATCCTATTAATCCCCTTATTCTTCTACTTCCCTCAACTCTGGTATACGCCAAAAAGAAATCTTTACTTTCCTTGTTTTATCATCATAAAAATAATAAAAGTATTTTGCTAGTATGGAAACGGCCTGTGTGTTTGACTTCACATGAGGTATGCGAGCAGGGTAAAGGGAAGACCTGTGTGTATATATATTTTATTTGGTAGTTGATTTTCTTTTGTGATTTAGCAGCTTTTTTTATTGCTGATGTGGTAGGGGTGTTTGTTTGGTTTGACCCTCAGCATGACTGCTATAATTTGATGATAGCTATTAAATTAGAACTAACATCACTCAGAGAAGCCAGCCTTCCTCTTCTCTTCATCTCCCTGGATCCAGTGTGAGGGAAGTTAGAGTAGGTAATTCAGTTGTTGTTGTAGGCCTTTAACAGTTCAGATGTTTGATTTAAAACCCTCAGAGTTTTTCTTCTCCATGTCCTACTTGATTTTCTTTGGGGTAGAGTTTGGGTTTTTCCTTTTGAATGTCCTCGCAGTACTGTCCCATGGAGCCCTGAAGTACAGGACACTTCGTGGGGGGGGGGGGGGCGTGGCAAGAAACCAGGGCCTGAGCCAGTAGCCAAGGCCCAAGTAGTGCCCAACTCCTCTCTCAGGCTGTGCAGTCGGTCTCGCTTTGCAGAGTCTCTAAGAGCGGGGAGAAGACTAGCTAGCTGACTGGCCTTAGGCAGGCTGGGGTGAAGAAACGGCCTGTGACAGAATCAGAAAGTAAGAATAAAAAGGGGAAAGCATCTGTGACAAATACAAGATCATGTTCACAGCCTTGCTCTGAAAGGTTCAATAAAGGAGAAAGAACTCAAAACTACCCTTAAAATCTTGGCTAAGAACTCAAGCATCGGGGTGGGAGGAGGGTTTGTCTTCCCTAGTGATCATAGAAATGCAAGTTAGAGTGAAACTAAAATAATGCTACTTATCAGGTTAGCAAAGATGGATAATAATCAGTGTGGTGGAACAGACTGCTGCTATACAACTGTTTGTGGTAAGAAATTTTGCAAAATTTATCAAGCTTCTTAAAATATTCATGTCATCTGTCTAACCCAGCAATTCTGTCTTGGAGAAGCCATCCTTGAAAATAATTCTGAATACAAAAATGGTTATATAAGCACAGTGGTGTTCATGGTAGACCTTTTTGTAACTGCAAAAAAAATCTAAATAGGTGTCATAGGGGATGGGTTAAGTAAATTGTGGTACTTCCACTTGAGGAACTGATGCAGTTACCTTAAATATTTACCACAGTTTTGACTCAGAACATGGAATGATGGATGGTTACAGATCTTATGTTGTGGGCCAGAAACACTGCTGTTGAGTCAATTTGACTCATAGCAACCCCTCCTTGGGTTTCTGAGTCAGTATCTCTACGGAATAGAGCCCAGGCTTCCTTCTGAGGAATGGCTGGTAAGTTTGAACTGCCAGCCTTCTGGTTAGCAGTCAAGTGCCTTAGGCACTACGCCACCAGAGCTCCTGTAGCTAATAAAAGTCTATACAAAAATAGAATAGTATAATGTACATAACCAAACCCAACTTCAACTCTTAACATCTCCCTGGTCTTATTTCAGCTACACCCCTGCACACTTCTTTTTTTCTAGAAAGTTTTAAAGAAAATCTTACACATCAAGTCCTTTCACCCATGAATACGTTGGTATCTGCTATTGTTAAGGTCACCAAATAGCCAGGGTCTGGACTTCTACACCTCTTCATCCTGGAGGGGAGTCCTCCAGTTCAGCCAGGCTCACTGCCTGAGTGCAGGCTCCAGGTAGGACCCTTCACTCCCAGTTACTTACCTGCTGCGGTCAGGCATGCTAGGAGCAGGGAATACAGCAGCAAATGGAGGGCAAGATCCCTAAATTCATGGAACTTATGGTCTCCTGAGAAGGAGACATCACAGACGTGAACAAACTAATTTCAGAGCAGTTGGTGTTGGGAAGACGGCAGTGGTATAATTCTCGCCTTCCAAGCAGACCACCAGGATTCTCATTTGCTAGCCAGTGTACCTCATACACAGTCACTGTCCATCTGTCGGTGGAGGTTTGTGTGTTGCTGTAATGCTGAGTGAGTGTCAGTGGAGCTTCCAGACTAAGGTGGATTAGGAAGAAAGGTCTCATGATCCGCTGACCAAAATCAACCAGTGAGAACCCTGTGGATCACAACAGACTGATCGATCCATAGTCGGTCTTGAGGATGGCCCAGGACTGGGCAGTATTTCATTCTGTTGGGGGTCAGCTCAACAGCAGCTAACAAGTGTTAGGGAAGAAACTAGAGCCAGGGTAGTGATGAAGTGAAGTAGCTGGGGCCAAGGGACTGAGGGTTGGTTGGAAACAACTTTAGATAGGGTGGTCAGGACAATGCTGTTGAAGAATGTGATTTTTAATGAGGCCAAAACACTAGAGGAAGTACATTTAATTACAAAGGCCTAGAAGTCACCTAAGGAGCTCTGGTAGCATAGTGCCTAAGGTACTTGACTGCTAACCAGAAGGCTGGCAGTTCAAACCCACCAGCCACTCTGCAGAAGGAAGACTGGGCAATCTT